AGCAGCATCGGTACAAAATTTCGCAAGATTTAAGCAATTGGACCATCGTACGCAAAGACTGCAATCTCACCTATCAAGCAAAATAAGTTGTAGCAGACTGCTTCAGCATCTCAACTCCAGCAAAATAGATAACAATATTTCAAAAAAAAGTAGGAGCAGGGATAGCATTTATCAACACAATAGCTTCAAACAAAAACCATTTATGGCAAAAACTGCGACTGTTTTGTTTCGCCGGCAACAAAATGAGTTGTATAAGAGATGAATTCTTTCCAATATAACATCTAGGTAGCGCGTAACTGAAAGCTACATATGCCAAAACAAATATAAATGGTCTTCTTTGAGCCACAACAAATTCAGTTAACCAAACTTGAATCCCAGCTCCTACCCTCCTAATTGAAGAGCAGATTTCTTCGCAAAAGAAAAATTACAAAATAAATGGAAAAATTGACATGTTTATAATACAAAAATTACAAGTGCAGGATTTCTCCAACGAGACGTTGCTACAACGGATGGCACACCAACAAGTCCAAAACTAACCAGAGGAGAGGTACTCGATCGAGAACGCAGCAAAAGCCTGCAAGATTCGTATAAAGGATTATGCTGTAGACAACTGACTGATTCATGTCCAAGTATCAAAGACGACACCTCGCTAATTTTACCACTCATGAAGGAGGTGCTAAGCCCCGTCCCTAAAAGGAGCTTGCCTTGTATGTCCTTGATGAAGGAGACTCGATTGAATGTACAAGTAAGTTGTTTTGAGACGAAGGATCCTTCAAATTCGATATGAGTATCCCTTACACCACACTCTAGATTTGGAAAATTTTTCAAAGTTCAGATCTATCGCAGACGGCGATGTCTCCCGCAGACCCCTGTGTCCGATAGTGAACTGGACGATAATGAGCATGACAATCGTCAAGCCGAGTTGAAAAGACAACAATTCCGTCGGACAGTAAACAATTCTATAGATTTGGGTAACCTTCACAAATAACTTTTCATAGAAATATATTGTTTTTAGTTTTTGGTTAAAGTATTCTTCTCAAGTCTTGTTGTATAAGCAAATTACCTATGCTCTACGATTTC